TGTCCACGAATATTTTCCATTTTCTGCCGCAACTCATTTTCTTTTAGCTTGACGCCGAATAATTCCATAAATTGCACTGGCCTTTGTTTTTTCTGCTCCTCGCTCTCCCACGCGCAGTCGTTTTCTTAACGGATGAGCCAACTGCTCCTGCGAACTTACAAGATAGGCCGATAGACCCCCATAACGTAACTCAATCTTCTGCCAAGTCCCGTTCTCGAAAAAGCAGTGGTCGCGGTGAGGGAACCGCCGTCGTCACAGGTCTGCAGCGACCCCGTTGGGATCTAACTTTTGATCCTATCAACCAGGTTCTCTTCTGGAGCGATTCACTCACTGGGCATGTTGGTGTTGAGGATGCTCGTACCGGTGCCAGCCTTGGTCTCATTGCAAATGCTAGCGATGTAAGTTTGAACGTACAGTGTTTCCCATTTAACCGAGTTTCATGATTTCTACTCATTAACGTTCGATAAGAATCTGACTTCAATCATGCAGCGGTCTACACTGAGACATTTTTGTTTTAAATAGAAATGATGAAATGCTCTCAGGCCGTCATCGTCAAACAAATTTGTTTTAAACTCAATCAGTCTACATAAGAGTATATTGGCAAATTGACAGTCGCCTTCGAATTTCAGACCGAAAATTCTACGCTTAGATTGTGTAATCTCATCAACCGGGCTTTTGTGGACGCGCCCCTATCGAAACCTTATTTAAGTCTATGAAGAATCGCAAGCTTTCACTTTTCTAGACCGTGGTTTGCACGCTAGAGCAAACACTTACCTAGGGGTTCCAATCCATTTAATCAGAGCCGATTTGTCCGCCTATTTGCCTGAACTTATATGGCATGTTCGTCGTTTGCGTATCTGAGACCCCAAGGGGGACTGGCGATCGTTTTAACCAATTTTCTTGGATTTTATTTGGTGTTGTGTCCAGTTAAGACGTCAAAACGACTTGTTGCCCTGTCTAGCTATGAAGAGACCGCAGAAGCTAGTAAACGAGAACAGATGAAAAGTGGAAGGCATTTTAGGAAACTGATTCTCTACAACATCACGTGGGATTTCGTCGTCCACGAAATGCCATGAGAACACAAAATAACGCAAAAGAACTGTGGCTTCTGTATTATTCAGCATACTGAAGAGAAGGCGACGATTTATTTCATTATCTGAACAGTCAGTCGAGAAAAAGAGCCGGCTTACTGTACCTTTATATGTCAATCCTTTGTTACCGTGGCCCCTCGGGAGACGAACTTTGATAATCTCAGCAGTCTTTTTACAACCTACGGCCAAAGGCTAACATACCTCCTAGCGGATGTAGGATTAAAGCTGGAGGGCCTCAAAGAAAGTCATCGGGTCAGAACAATTTTCGGACAAATTTAAATTGGTGAAAGAACTTTCCAAACTAATGGCACATTTCTTCCATGTGCCATTTGATTTGTGGAGAATGCAACCCGACTGGAAGACAGCAAATATCGACTCGATGTGTCAGGGTGAGGACTGAACCAGTGTCAGTCGTTATCGTTTCGTCACTCTAACGTGCATCTGTTGTAAAACAATGAAAATCATGCTTCAGGCATCAACAACGAAGTTCCTGGAGGCGAACCTCTTACCCGCGAGCATCCAGCACGTATTCAGGCAGAACATTCTCGCCTTTCCAACTTGGTCCAACTTGAAATGTGCCGCACAGGCCTAGCGTCCGTCGCTCAAGAAGTGCTATCAACTGCTTGAACGAGTCTAGGCGAGGACTACAGAGATGATGAAAAATCTTAGTGCTGTGTCATACAAATCTCGACCGAACGAACTACATTCGATCCCCGAATACTACAGATAATTGTGCGTCGACCATATTCAAGCCTATTGGATTGTTAAAGACCGCGAATGCATCCTACAGTCAGAAGAGCTTTTCGTGCTGGATGAGCCGGACAATGTTCTTGGTAATTCCTTTAAGCTGCAGAGTAAATTGGCTCATTCGCACATCCAATAAAACGCCCTTTCGCAGAGCGTAGGGCATAGAACAAACTCCCTACTGAGTTGGTGCTTCCGGACAGTGTTGAACCATTTGAATACCGAATTGATACTCATTTACTCCGTATATAGGCAATTATACCGCTGGCGACTGCTTGCGCCTGGACCAGGCATACCGATGACTCTCCCCCCTACAATTACTGCTGCAAAACTTGTTTTTATTTTCTTTTCTATTAACCGGATAAAAAGTTTAAAGTGATTGTTTATTTAACCAGTTGTTTGCCTGTACCTTTTAGACTTCGCGAACAGTTCTAGAGATTGTTGTCGAAGCCCGGTCTGGCCAACTCTTTTGGCTGACTGCATCTCAACCAGACCGGTCGGAATCCTACCCCCCGCATGTTTGGCTGAACTGCCGCATTGAAATCACCTACCTTGACGGCAGTTTTCGCAGGGTGCTGTATGACGCCTCGCACACCTCATGTCCTCACTCGCTCGCCTACTCGGCCAAACTTGCTCGCCTTTACTGGGCTGACCCAACTACCGGTGAAATTAAAACAATACAGGTTAGTGTCTCGAAAGTATACAGCTGTAGACTCTACACCCTAACCGTAAATACAGGGGGAAATCGGGCTCGAAACTATTTGAGAATTGAAAAAAACCTTTAAAACCTAAATGCGCATTTCGTTAGAGCATACAGCTCGGGAAACGTAAGTTGCTGTAAAATGCGTGCATGCAAAGCGACGTTTTTGCACGGGTTTCCTAAAATATATCTGAAGCTAGGAATGCATCGAACTTCGATGAAAAAAAAACATACAACTTAAGTAGTCGTATTTACCAAGTGCGAGTTTTGTAGACAAATGAAGTCACTGATCGAAAACGCACTTCAGAATTTCCTTTAACATTTCATGAAATCAAGAAAGAATGTTTTGACTATATTTTCTATGCAGTATATATTTTAATTGATAGGAGCATCGAAAATCAATCAAAAGAATGCGTGCTTATCAAGTAATCATTTTACCCAATGCGGTGTCTACAGGCAGCCGAAAAAGTGCATTCAAGAGGTGGTATCCTGATGTGACTGAAATGCTTCGGAATTATGCTGCCTGATAATAACTATTGCAACCACATTTGTGCTATACTACCTTCTCGAAAACACATTTTATCATTTCGGTAACATTTAACGAGATTGGTCTCTGACCGTAGGCCTACATCGTCAAGCCGATGAGGCAAAGGGTAGACCCGTCCGCTAGACAAGCAGTTTAGTGGAAATCCTTTTCAATTTGAAACTTGTCTTCTTCAGCCTGTAATGGAAGCCAGACTTAAATTCAAGCATTGCCGTACCTCCTCGATTAACTGGGCCTGACCGAAATCGACTTTCAATCTTACGAGTACCACCTCGACGACAACCATGTTTATTCTAAAAGACGCAATCTTAGGTTACATTGCTAAACTGGTAATCAGTTCTTTTTTTCTGGTTTTCGACTTTTCTTAATTAACTGACAGCTACGTGAATTTGTAATCGCCCTATTTATTATATCGCAAAGGGTCATCTCTCAGAACAGCAACTATTATTATTTTTCTTAAAGAATACTTTTAACAGCAAGACTTCCTGGCAGAATGTACTGTTTTTTTGAATTTCAGTAAACAAGACGCCATATCATGTTAAATAGTCCGTGAATCTGTGGAACTTGGACTCTTAAATGGATTTTCTTGTATTCCTGTGTTAACCTGCTTCTGGCTCCTCTTCTCGGATGTCTACTGCATTCGTCTGTCTACGTGTAGTCATTTGCGCCTGCACATGACGGTTGCACATATCGTCCTACAGATATCGATGATAATCCGTCTGCATAGACGACTTGTTTGCACGAGTCTGATAACCTGCTTCAATTGAGCGTGTACCATGGGCCATTATCACATAACTTATATTACCTCCAAATGTAGTAAAGTATTCTGTCCACTTGGGCTGCAGTCGGGCTGTTTATATTTTTGAGCCTGTGTTTGGCAATGTAAATGTGATGATGGTGAGTAGGAGAGAGACGAATGGTGCTCGTAAAAGCCGTGTTTGGGATTCACTTATAATTTGAAGTACCAATACATGTAACGTACTCATTGGTTTTCCTGCGAGCACTGAAGATTGAGAGCAAATAGTGATCGAAGTAGATTTCTGTTTCGTCAAAACGATTGCCATGACCTGTACTGAGGTCGTCTCTTATGCTATTGCTGTGTGTTTTACCATAATTCTTGATTTCGGCAAGATGCGCTTCGCCCCAAAAGTTGCAGTAAAGCTATCAGGTGCTTATCTATTTCCAGTAACCTTGTGATCATTATTTGTTCATCTGCTACACCCCCTTCTGTTCTGCAGGTCCCACCACC